AGGCGGTATGGGAGCAAACACACGATATTAGAGGCAAGCATAATTTTCAAATGATTAAACCCTAATAGTGTGAATAAAGAATCTATGATACGGTATGTATGAAACAATATTTTAAGCGTACAGGCTATCGAGAGGAGGGAACGTACAAATAAAATAATATACGACTGTAACAAGGAAATACATCACGATAGGGACGGAAAGGTTTCTCCAAAATTGTCTCCTTTCACCCCCTTTCGCGCTCTCAAGCAATGTTCTGTCGTCTGCTTTCGCTTCAACTTTCTGTCCCCGCCCTCTTACCTCCTTTGCCCCTCAACTGGGCTCCTGACTCTTTCTGCAGCCTTTCTACTGCTACTAGTTGCGCACGTAAAAGATCCATTGGTGGTCTAAAATCGATAAGAGTAGGCTTTGGCTGCCATCCGGGCAAAATTCAAAATTCCCCTCCCCCCTCGCGCTCATGACCTTATTCAGTTGTGAACGCCGTAAAACACGTACAAAAAAAGGACATACATGTAATATGGAGCAAGCTCAACAAACAGATGTTTTCCGCCCATGTCAGTGGAAGGTATTACAGAGCTTGGTGATGTTATAGGGTTTTGAATTGCTGTTTACTCTGCCCCTCTATTTCCATCTGATAACATTTGTTCAGTTGTGTCTAGCTTGGTCGTGCTCTTGAACTTACCCAAAAAGGTTTATTATACTGTATACTATGATCGGTGTCTGATTGTGGGGTACTGCGCTTTGTTCGCGAGGACATGTGTTTGATTCCAATTTGTTTATTTTCTTTGTTTGTTTCTTTGTTGTTTTTTTTTTGGGGGGGGGGGGTGTTGTTTGTTTAAAATTGATTTAAAAAAAAAATTTAATAGCTTTATTTTGTATCTTGACTTTCTGGTCTCTGATTGTATGATGTACAGAGTATTTCTTTCATTCGCTTGCGCTTTGGTATTTGTTGCGGAAAGAGGGGGTTTCATTGTTTTGTTCAAGGAATACTTACTCTTTTATCGGTTTCTTTTCTGCACAATGAAGAGTTTCAACCTCTGAGCGAAATGCTGGGTTCACGGATGACTCATTTGACTGTGCAGGCCGTCATCAAAACGTGCGTTCACCGTTAGTGAGAAAGAAGTGTGCCAATGTAGGAAAGAAGGAGACCAAGACTACTTTCCTTTCATTTGATAATAATTAACACAGGTATGTATTATGTTGAGTGAACGTACTTTTCTTTTATCCTCTGAGATTACTACGGGGCTTCGGATTTTACCGTTGTTGTTATTATTGCTGTTGTTGCTATCTAGGTTTGGAAAGCATCAGCTACTGTTTGCGTTTTTTTTTCTTTCTACCTGCATTAAACCTGTATTTGAATTTGACCTCTTGTATTGATTATAAAACGGAATCCTGACGCGGCCCTGAGCCAGGTTTTGAACACCTTCGCCACTGTCAAGCTTTGAGTGAAGCTTTTATCTAGGTACCTATAGTTTCAGACTCTAGGTTTTACATGGCTATTGTCTCAGTTGGTTCTCCAACACCATCACCCTCCCCCCCCCCCCAAACACCCTCTACCTCTCCCCTCCCGTTCGAATCCCCAGCCAAGCACTTTGACCTTGAGATCTTTGAGGAGTGTGCAGTAATCCCCATCCGCATGACCAGATGTTACCGGAAATGGACATTACGTCAAAGGTCTGATTTGTAACCGTGACGAGTTAAACCCATTAGCTTCGTATGCTATTTTGTTGAGTGTTGCTGCTGCTTTCTTTATCTAACAGTTATATATCGGGACAAAACTGATTGAGATTCAGAGGATTTTCTGCCTAACCGTTTAGCTCGTCCAACTAAAAAACATTATGTTTTCTGTGGTTTTTTTTTCAAATAACGTTTTACTGCTTGCACAAATTTCTATCAAACTTTTAAAACTTGTATCAATTTGTCTTAACCCTGTCCGTACGTCGTGTTTTACTATCGTATTCATACGACGCGGGGAACTCTGTGCCACCACATTCCAAAGAGGAAATTTACTTGTTAATCCGTTCCGTACGCTTTGCTGTCAAAATTATTTTTTGAGAAATACTGAACGTTTCAAAGAGATCTTTCTACTAGAAGTATTAAAAAATGTGAAGAATACAACCCCAGGGGTACAAAATGACTCCGGGATGTATGGGTAGGGTTAATCAAGTGTGAGTAAATGGTTCTGGTCCGAGCACTAAAAAGTAATGTTTTCTCTTTGTCTTTGTTAAATAATTGGCTAATCCATTGAGTAAAAATGTGATAACGTGCTGGGCACCAAAGCTCACAATAATCCATAGCGTCATATTTTGTATAAAAGAAAAGAGTATTCCGATGTTTTCCCATTCTGTTTCTATAATCAGCTTGCGCACAGTTTTTAGATTTTAAATATTTCCTATTACCTTGTCATCAAAGGGGAGTTTGCTTGTTTGAACCTAACAAAGGGAAATACATACCATGAAACATGATAACATTATCAGGCCTGTATAGTAAATAAATATGTTTATTTTCAACCTGTGATGGAAGCACAACAAAAGACCACAAGTGTCGCGGAGAAGTGCCCTTTCATACCAACCTGTTACATAGAAAACTATACTGCTTGAATAGACAAATCAGGATTGCCATTTATTGTATTTAAAACCTGAATGCTTGACGTAAATCAAATCAAAAGTTATTGACAAAAATACGATGTTTTTGTATTTGGAGGAGCTATAACAGGGAATTAAAGAATTCTTAGCCTATTTTCTTGCAAAAGTGGGCCTGATCATAACCAAGTGTCATTTCCCTCTTTGCTCACAGCCCACCATTATAATAATATTACTACAGTTTATAATATTATGAAACAATATAATGGTGTGATTAGTATAAAAGTAAAGTTGTTCCTGCTTCCGATCCAGACATTGGGGATTGCCTTGTTAGTGAAACAACTTCCTGGGCCTTCAGCATATTGTGGTAGGGTGGCCAGTTCCTTCCCACGCCGTCTTTATTTCCCCCAACTCGAAGTCAGGTATCCATTACTGCTGGGTGGGCAGGAGGGGGCGAAAAAGATGCGTGTCCGAACCGAGGCTCGAACCCGGACTTTCCGCTTCGGAGACGAGCGCAGGGCTAAGTATACTAAGGGGAATAAGCAAAATAATGTGCTCCTGCTTCACTATTGATGATACAGTTATCTTCCCTTAAAAGGATCTAGTGTTAAGAAAAAAAAAGCAATCTTGTACAGTACGGTAGAAATATGACCCCCATTCAGTACTAAAAGGTTAATTAAAATTTGGGACCTCCCAAATAACGCCAAGCGTAGATAGGTCTTTGCCAAGTACGTGGAGAGAAATGAAATATACTCCCTAAGTACACTTAGTTGAAGAAAGTCATTTCTGTGATTCCAACCGAGTGATCTATAGATAGACAGACAGATAGATATGTAGATAGATAGATAGATAGATAGATAGATAGATAGATAGATAGATAGATAGATAG